GAAAGGACGCCAAATCCAAGCCGACACTGCCTCCAGAGAGACAGCGACTCCAGTGCGAAGATCTGAAGCGTCGCTCGTCATCGAGCACGAGAGCTTGGCGCACAGTACAATATCTACACTGACGGCTCGGCGAGTGTCATCACACCAGAGCACCCGTCCAACCCGACCGTTGTCGAGACACTGAAGGAGAAAGACGCCATATTCACGTGCTCTTTCGAGGAAGAAAGGAAAGCCTTGAAAATGGCCATAGACGGGATCGACAAACAGTGTGATGCATCCAACTCGGTCGCTATCTTCACTGACAGTCAATCGCTATACATGGCACCACCATTCGACCAAATGCGACGACGCATAAAAAATACAACACCTCAACCCACGATTCAATGGATCCCTGGTCACTGCGAGATCCTCGGTAACGATCTCGCTGACAGTAATGCCAAACTGGCTACAACGCTGCCGGGTCCAGGCCGCCAAATTGCGCATGAAAGTGCGTGCACCCAGATAAAACTCATCACAAAAGACCCTCCGATATTCCACACGCGGACAAACGAAATATACAGGAAAATTTCCTTAAAACGGGAGGCTCAAATTAAGTCCCGCAGCGACCAGTCACTACTGGCAAAAATCAGGGCCTGTCACTTCTCTGGGCTGCGGGCCGACAAACATCGGACCCAATCTGTCCATAATGCAGCGAGGAACCCCAAGACTTGGAGCACTGGCTGCAGAGTTGCCCCGCCGCGGAGGTGTGGCGGTGTCATCTCTTTGGGGAGGATTCAGGGAGGATTCAGGGAGGTTTGATTGTCTCACCCGCTACCAAAGAGAGGCGGTGGCCCTGGCGAAGAGCAAGTTCTTCGGAGGTCCAAACATTTCGAACGGATAGGGTACCACACACACACACACACACACACACACACACACACACACACACACACGCACACACACATTTGCCAAGCGGGGGAAGGGGAAAGATGGTTAAACTGTCTTCTCTTCCCCTATCACAAAATGTAGAGATAGGTCTAGTAACAAACCGGAGCACAATTTATAGCAACTGAAAACAGCCTGGACCTATAAAAAGACATCCCGAATTTCAGTGGAGAATTTTCAGATATTTACAGTAGCGACTTCATGACTCCCCCTCCTCACCCGCTCCTCCTCAGTCCTAAGAGTCGCCGAAAGCTGCATGCGATGCGTGCGTGAGTGTGAGTGTAAGTGCGCGTGTCAGTTCCCCTTCCTCCTGTGACAACGGCGACGACCAGTAGTCTAGTACATCTACATCTAGTTGTAATCTGAAGGCAAGATCTGAAACGACGAAAATAATCATTGTTGTCCCGTCTACCGCTTCTGTTGAGTGGGTAGAGAGTGAGAGAGAGAGAGAGATAGAGGGAGAGAGGGAGATAGAGGGAGAGAGGGAGAGAGAGAGTCTCTCCGTGCTCAAAGCAAGAAAACGGATCTATTTTCTCCCCCATTTGATTTAAGCTTCTGGTGACTAATATCTCGCAAACTGCGACATGTACTGTTTTGCGTTGTTTGGTGAGGTTAATTCCTGGAGTTTTATTGTTGCTACGGTTTTTTCAAGCGTTCAAAAGTGAACCGATTTCCAGTGAAGGGCATTGATGGACTAAAAAAAAAGCATAATTATCGCTTGGTCTAGATCTTTACGTATCATGTAGTGTGTGTTTTCTTGCTGCAGGAAAGGACCCGGAAGTTCAAAGTCTTGCTTGGTGAGTTGTATTTGTGACGACACGATGGACTGGAAGCTGTAGATTTACTTGGATCTGTAGCCCTACATGATATTATGTGTGTGTTTGTCTGTGTGTGTGTCAGGTGTTCGAACCTTGAACATTAATTGCAAGACACGGACGGTTGCTTTGCTTTTCTCTTTCAACGAAGTGCCTGTAGTATAGACCTACTGCAGTAGTGTGGGTTCTGATTTCGTGGCTTTCACAAGCAGGAACAGCAACGTCGTCTTAACCCTGCACGAATCAATCTGACCTGCGGAGACAGAGAATATCTAGATTATTATGTCTAGATTTAGTGTGGAAAGAAAGTTTTGATGCTTGTCCTAAAGCTTAATCAAATTTCTGAAGTTGTTTTTTTTTAGAAAGTTTGGATGGTGAGTCGTGAGTTTCAGTCAAACTTATTGAAGTTATTCACAGAAACGTTTGTAACACTATTATTAAAATTTGTGAAAAATCACGCATGGATGGTGAACTGAATTGAAACAGAAAAAGATAAGAAAACTCAGAAAAACGCAAACAAACAAATAGAGTTTAAATGAATTTTTTTAAAAAAGCAGAAACGCAATAACCACTTTAAACGTGTAGTCTGATTTTCTTTGTTGCCGGAACGAGCGAGAGTACGCGGCATCTAGATCGAGATCTAGATATTATTATCTAGATCTATTCAAAGCCCACCCAGCAAATTGGATCTATCTTCGGGCAGAAACAAAATGTCGGCCAGATCTAGTGCAGAAGTAGAGAGGAGCCCACAAGTGGTGTGTGGCGGGGCAGACGACGAGAGCTGTGACGTAGTGCTCAGACGGTCCCCCCGGAAGACCGCCGAGTCGTCGGTGCTCAGCTACCTCGAGAGAGAGAGGAGGGACGGGGAGAAGAGGGTCAAATGGAGCCCGTCCACAGAAGTGAGAGAAAAGATGAAGGAATGCAGGAGGAGCCAGTGAGTACACCAGTGTGTTGTCCCGTCTGTTTCAACCCCTTTTCTTTCTTTCTTTCTTTTTGTTTACTTCTTTCTTTCTTACTTTCTTTCAATCTTACTTCCTTTCTTACTTCCTTTCTTTCTTTCTTTCTTTCTTTCTTTCTTTCTTTCTGCCTTTCTTTCTTTCTTTCTATCTTACTCTCTTTCTTTCCTTTCAAACCTTTGTCCGCCAACAGCAGTATGTATAACCCTCCAACAACGACCTTCTTTCTGTTTTATCGGCTGTTTCCCGTGAACAGGTTGCTGTAGTCTGCTACCCGTCTGTTCTCTGACGTCATCTTGTCATCTTCTGTCTGATTTTCCTCTTGGTCTTTACCCTTATTCTTGGTCTCCACACAACCCTTTCACCCCCCC